AAGAATTTCCTACTTTTTAATCCTTGGGTTGCTTCACTATCTTGTTTGGGTTTGCAACCTTTCTATCATCTTTGGAATCAATGTCTTGTTTCAAATTCTCTGTTGCAAATAACCAAAATGGTCTTCATTTTCCTGTTTAGACCCTGACCCTGACTTACTCAGTAATTGCTATTTCAGTAGCTGTTACAGTTCCAATGTGGCTTAGTGAAAAAGAATCTTCCTGCCATTGCAGGAGACTCAGGAGATGGGAGTTCTATCCCTATTTTGGGAAGATCCCCTGGAGAAGGAAATAGCAACCTACTCCAGTATTCTTGCCTGGAAAATCCCATGTACTGAGAAGCCTGGCAGGCTACAATCCACAGGGTCACAAAGGCTCAGACACGACTGAGCACACACTCCCATATGGGTTTGTGCCCCCGCCCCCAATTCATATGTTGAAGTCCTAATCCACAGTACGTTAGAATGTGATTCTATTTGGAATTATACTATATGAATTTGTGGTACTTCGTAAGGCATACTGCATCTGGTTACCGAAAAGCCATGGCCTCTTTCTTATTTACAAGCAATCTCCTTATACATACCCAGGAGAGGTACAGTGGAAGGAGAAAATAAGAACAGTAGTTAGCCTTTCATAGTTCTTATTCTTTAGATATACCTCCACCTTTCAGAAAATTTAGAATATTTGACTTGGCAGACAGGACAGCTAAGACAAAAATGGGAAAGAAAAATAGCAAGAAAAACAGAAAACCCAGTCACCTATACCACCCCTAGTTACATTCAGCTTTAACCACTTATTAACACTTACTACAATTGGCAATTCATGTACCTTCATTTACTCGGTTTTTGCCCGCTTCACCACTAGAACCTCACAAGGACAAGGACTTTGTATGTCTAGTTCACAATTTTATCCCAAGGCTATCCCAGCAATTATTAAATAGTTGATACTTGGTAAACAATTCTTGAATTATGAAGGAAGGGAAAAGAACTGCAAAAGAATAAACTATTATTTTTATGTACAAGGCACTACTAAAACTATAGAATGACTCAAACAATCTTGTCCTCTTAGGTAGCTTACACTGTAATCAAAGAAAAAGAATACACAGTGCTATATCAAGAGTCACTGAATGCCTCAGAAGTTCAGAGAAGGAAGAGCAAAGAGTACTTATTGACAGATGGAATTACTAAGGATGTGCAGAAATAGCCAACAAAAACAGAAAAGAAACCAGTCACAGAAAGACAAATACTGCATGATTCCACCTATACGAGTTATCAAATACAGTCAAACTCATAGAAGCAAAGAACAGGGTGGTGGTTACCAGGGGCTGAGGGGAGAGGGAAACGTGGAGTTAGATCAATGTGTATAAAAGTTCAGTTATGCAAGATGAATAAGTTCTACAGATCTAAGTTACAACATTGTGCCTGAAGATAACAATACAGCATTTTACACTTAAAAATTTGCTAAGAAGGTAGATATCACATTAAGTGTTCTTACCATAATAAAGAAAGAGAGAGAGAAACACAAGAATGTTTCATCAGCATTAACCTCTGAATGTTTTCCATACTGCAAAACCATCGGAGTTTCTCTAATATGCTATTTCATGTCAAAGCCTGGCTGTCACAGTGAAAGAGCTATACTTTCAACACTCTCTGTGAAATCAGGGGTCAGCAGGAAGCCTATCAGGCACTTCAATGATGACCACCTGCAATACCCTCTAGGATACGACTGAATTCCTGGCCTCCGTGGGTCTATTAGTCTGCCTGATGAAAAGAAGGTATCTCAGGGCACCTGGTGCTCTGAAGAGTGCTATTCCTGTCCCCTCAGGCTGACTGGAGTGCCCATCTGCCTTGGTTTTCAACAACTGCAAAGAAGCCCAGCATGCAGGGAATGAAGTATCTACTGGGTAAGGGAGACTGTCAATTCTGAAAATGCTTGTCAAGTGTGTACGACTGCCTCTGAGGATCTGAGGTAATTTTTATGCATTGTGGTAAAATAGTCCCAGCCTAAGTCTAAACATTTGGCAACTTTCTAGAGAATATAATTAAGTATCATTCACTATGATTTCTCGGTTTTATCTACCTTTTTAGATGACTATCACAGGAAAGATTATTCACTTTCCTTCCTGGTGGCTCTTTTTTATTAGATTTTCAGTTAATAAAGCAATAGAGCAGTATGTATGTTTCCTACTACTGATATTATTTATTAATGATAAACATGTTTCAGTAAATATGTATTAAAATGATAGATATATGAGTTAAGCATGTATTTCCCATGTAATAAATGCATGACTGTATCTATCAGTTCTAACAATAATTTGGGAGAAAACCAGTAATTCATTTTATCATTTCACATACTTAGTCACTTGGCAAATTCATTTCATTCTAAACATTATGGCAAGGTAACACATGAAGAGATATATAGTTTCTACCTGACATTATAAAACATATTTCTCTGCTAGTTTTCAGGTCCATAAAATTAAACTTATTTGTTTCTCCCAAGCCAAATAAGATTTGGTAAAATGATGGATTCCAGTCTACCGAAGAATGCTTGTCCAGGTAAGATTTAAGTGCTTTGGAAGAGTCAGACTACTGGATTAGCTCCATGACCAGCTGAGAATTTATCAAGTACATAGTTCAACTTTTTAATAATATATTTTCAGGCTATTATAAAAATGAATCCAAGAGCCTTGGAAGAGCCAGGAACTATTTTGATTTCCAGGCTAGGGTGTCCTTTAGACATTCTAATTGGTCCAGAAGGACCCTAAAACAGTGTCTAGCTCTGTGTCTCCATAGGCACATATAACCTCTGGAACAGCAACCCAAAGTTTGCCAGCGACTTTCAGGGTAAATATAGGATAACGTTAATGCCAAAAACTCATTCCCTTAAACCTGATAAAACCTGAGTAACCAATTATCAATCAATAAAATGATACTTACTAAATGCTTTATGTATGCTTCCAAATTGTGGTGCTGAAGAAGACTCTTGAGAGTCTCTTGGACTGCAAAATCAAACCACTCAATCACAAAGGAAATCAACTCTGAATATTCATTGGAAGGACTGATGCTGAGGCTGAAGCTCCAATACTTTGGCCACTTGGTACAAAGAGCCAACTCACTGGGAAAGATGCTGATGCTGGGGAAAATTGAGGGCAGAAGGAGAAGGGAGCAACAGAGGATGAGATGGTTGGATAGCATCACTGATTCAATGAGTTTGAGCAAACTATGGGAGATGGTGAAGGACAGGGAAGCTTGATGTGCTGCAGTTCATGGGGGTCTGAAAGTGTCGGACATGACTTAGTGACTAACCAGCAATAATGCCTGGCATATATTGGTGACCATAATAGAAAGATAAGGGGCTATCTTCCTGAGGCTTATAGTTCAGAAGATATGGCATACAGCAAACAATTAATTCAAGAGCAATGGTTGTTAGAAAAAGAGAAGTATAAGGTACATGGGGACTAACCTAAGGCTAAGGGGTCAGGAAGGTTTCCATGAAGAAGAAAAATGAGTTGACCTTTTGGTAGGTGGTATAGGAGAGAAAGAAGGATGTCCAGGAAGGTGAACCAGCATGTGATTCAAGACCAGTGGAGAGAATTAAGTGGATTCTGTGTCCAGATCATCTAACTGAAATAACAGAAAATGTATCATTTTTAAGAAACATATCTGAGGGATAAAAGTCTCTATTCATGAGACACGCTGATGACTTATGTGAGGAGGCAGAGTCTATACCTAAGTCAGGAATGCAGGATAACATTTACCTTTGGTGATAGACTATCACATATGTAACAGACAAGTCCACCACCACCTCCCTCCCAACAAAGCAGATCTCTCTCCAAATGCCATCACAACTGAATGGATAAAAGCTGGCAACCCAAATTCTCCCATTACCTTCCAGGGTCATTCAGGTTTTATGGGTAAATATGTATGACCAAGGACTTCCCAAGTGGAGCAAATGGTAAAGAACCTGCCTGCCAGTGCAGGAAAGGTAAGAGACACTGGTTCTATCCCTAGGTTAGGAAGATCCCTGGAGGAGGAAATGGCAACTCGCTCTGGTATTCCTGCCTGGAGAACCCCACGGACAGAGGAGCCTGGAAGGCTACAGTCCATGGGGTCACACAGAGTTGGACACCACTGAAGCAACTTAGCACACACATGTATGACCAAAATGACTGCTCACTGTACCCCATTTTCTCTCTATTAGCTTAAAGTAAAAATCAAGTTTCACTGGATAACATATTCTAAAATCTTTACATTTTAGAAGGGACAAGTTTCTTTTTAGAATTCCTAAATTTTATCCCTAAGAAAAAAGGGGCCTAGGAGATAATTTAACTTGCAAAATACCCTGAAGCTAGTTAGAGTCAGAGCTAGAACTAAAATCCTGGTTTTTATTCTAATTTTCTTTACACAATTACATATAGATGTTCTTAAAATTATCTATATATATTGCCGCTCTCTAGCAAAAGTGATAATGACTGGATATAAACAAACAACCATACCTAGAGAAAAACTCTTGGTCAAGTTATTCATTAGAATTCTATTATACGACAAGTATTATTTTGTAAATAGTGAGACTGAGGTCATTAGATTAATAATGCTACTAATAATGTGGATTTGAGTCACAGATTTGCAGTGATAGTGAACAATGATTATAAGAAGCTAGATAGCACACTGCTACAGCTAAAGGTGTGTAAACACATGGTGGCTCTAAGAATGACTCAGCAACAATAACACCAATTTGCTCAAGTTTAGTTTGACCTAAAGCCTCTGCAGCTGCTTTACTTTGTTGACATATGTAAACAACACATGCACAAAAAAAGTGCAAGAAAACTTTGCCATCATGGTGCTTTAATACATTTGTTCTCTTGTAAAATATGTATAGGCATCACACATAAAATCCACTCTGACAGTATTCAGCAGAACACTTTACTGACAAAAGGCAGATTCAGACGCCTATTAGACATTCAAGAGAAGGTCACAGCCTCTGATTCTCCTCTCAGGCAGCGTTTGTAAAGCTCTGGGTCCTGTGCAAGAGACATCATCAAAACAATCAATTTCTTGCCTACATCTCTTTTTCTCCATCCTGGTAACAGTCTATAGGAGAACATGGTAGATGATAAGTGGACAGAATCAAGTAAGTTATTCATTCAATTTGCATGAAAGACTCTTGCTCACTTAGCAACAATCAATGACAGCCAGGCTTTAAAATGAAACACTTTCTTCCTTTCAACTCTGTCACATACACACACATCCCAAGTAAAGATTAAATGTCTATTTTTTTTTTCCAAAAAAAAAAAAAAAGATGGGGTGGGCAAGACAGAGAATCTTTCACATTCTACATTTTCAGAGAAAGTATCCAACACGACTTGCCATGATAACTAAATTTATTATTAACTGTGTATTTCATGATGTTAGTGACAATATGTTAATGTGATTTTTCACGTCCTCCTGCAGCGAACAGATGGCTCCTTTTACTTTACTTTCCACATCAAGTGTGATTATTTCTTGGTGCCAAAAGCCACCTGCCGCTCCTCGGTCTCCAGTCTAATTTTTTATGTTGGTAAAACACAGCAGGACTTGTTATCAGTTGGATGGCATCTTAATAAAAGGAGACATGCCAACATATTGACATCATGTTCAAGGGGAAATTTCAGCCTCTTCAAACCCTTAACCCCCTTCCACTATCCCCCTTCAAAAAGTGAGGGAGAAAAAGGAAAAAAAAATAGAGGCAAAGACCCCACCAGTTTCAAGATGTTTGATTACAATTGTTGGGCCTACAGCCAGGTTGCTGAATCGGCCTCCCTTTGTTCCTAAACCCAAGCACCTCACTCAGGGCTCTGATCTTTCATCCTGGGTAATGATAATTAGCCATAACATATTCCAAAGTCAAATGTAAGCAGGAATACATTAACATTGAGATCAGTATCAGGGCAATTTTCACTGGAAAAGTGACAAAGAACACACACACATACACATACACACAATCAAAAATTTCAAGATTCAAGCATTGATACAATCACTTTCATAGCTGTGAATATTAAACCCACTGGTTTGTCTGTTATGAGTGCTTATCTAGAATGCCAAGACCTCCTAATGTGGATGCAGTGACTCTCATAGCCCACGCTTAACAGAGAAAACATGAGTAATAAACCACGGTAGCCTGCTTTAATTTTTCCATTCTTTCTTAGAACAAAGAGGTATAGTATGTTAGGAGATCTGTGGTCCAAGAAGAGGTCTTCCAGGCGATTGGATGGTGTGGCTCTCAACAGCTGGTCCAGCACATTTGGGAACAGCATGTAGAAAAATGCGTCAGTGTTTCGAAGATTACCAACTGTGATGATGCATTGGTTATGACACAACCTAAAAAATGTTAAATTTCCTAGCCACAATCGATATAATTCAGTGTCCTTACCACCAGGGTGCACACTCTCAAATGCAAGATGAGATACATGCAAATTCGGTAAAACCAAAACTTCCAAAATAGATTCTCATTCATTAGAGACTGGAAAGAGCACTCTTCAACGAGCCCTCTTCAATGCCTGTTATTTCCTGTTAAAACCAAACAAAGCATTAAACCTGCAGCTGGAGAAAACTCCTAGCAGAAGAAAATTCCTACAATAAAAGTGCTAATATTTTTTTAAAAAATGATTCACAATTAAGTTTCCTTGAGACAAACAAGTAGATTATGCCACCACAGAATCTCTCAGATGGACGTAAACTTGGCATTGTCTCTTTTATTTCCTTCAACTATCCCTCCAAACAAAGAACCTGTATGAAACAGATACCTATTACCTGTTTTGCAGCTTTTTATGTGTATTACATTTCCCTAGTATTTTGTTATGGTGGTGGTTTAATTGATAAGTCAAGTCCAACTCTTGGGACCCCATGGACTGTATACTGCCAGGCTCCTCTGTCCATGGGATTCTCCAGGCAAGAATACTAGAGTGGGTTGCCATTTACTTCTCCAGGGGATCTTCCCAACCCAGGAATCGAACCCAGGTCTCCTGCATTGCAGACAGATTATTTACCGACTGAGCTAAGAGGGAAGATTAATACTTTGTTATAAAAATTGGCAAACATAGAAAATTTGAAAGAACCAATACCATTTTGTCTACCACACAGATTCTACAATTAATGTTACAATACTAATGTTACTATATATCTTTTCATTTACCTGTTCTTTTATCTATTCATCAATCTATCTTATTATGTTAGATTTCAAAATGAATAACCAATAACCATTCAGCAACCAAAATTAAAATTAACTTGAGTTTATGCTAATTAAAGTGAGATCCATATATAGTGGTGCTCACTAAGTCATTCAATAAGTATTTCTTGAGTTTTTGCTTAGGGTCAGGCACTGTTACAAATGCTGAAGATACATGATTGAATAAAATAGCCAAAATACCTGCCCTTATTGAACTTATAATTTAGTGGGCTTGACAGGGGAAAAATAATTATTAAATGAATGGCTCTCTAAAAAAAGATTTGTACAAAGGAAGATATGCCAACATAGACAAGTAGTCAAGATTATTCTTAACTTAGACATTGTAATAAGGTTAGGAAGAATGTTTCCTGTGTCACTATAATATTGTCTAAAAAAAGAGTCCCTATATAGCAGCCTCTCGTAAGATAGCTGTCACATTACTGGATAAACAAAGGCAACCAACTCCAGTATTCTTGCCTGGAGAATTCCATGGGTAGAGGAGCCTGGCAGGCTACAGTCCATGGGACCGCAAAGAGTTGGACAAGACCGAAGTGACTGAGCATGCACTATTGAAGAGTGACCTTAAAGGTAAATAAATAATAATAGGAAGGCAATTCATTTAACAACTCTAATTACAGTAATCTTACATCAAAAGACTTTTTCAAGACATATCTGATTTGGGGGCACTATTCTGAATAGTATGTCTACCATTACAGGAGCTGCGTTTGTATGGAATATGATGCAAAGTGAAATAATTTCCTAGTAACGTATAACATCCTCAAAAATAAGGTTGTGCCAATGATCCTTTCAGAGGTGTTTAAATTAAAATGTAGGAAGGCTATTACAGACTAATAATTAAGTTTTTATGTTTTTAATGAAAAAATAGTGGAGTTAGTTTAAGCAAACAAAAAGCACTGCTAGTCAGCTTTGGTTAAATCTATCAATAGTTTATAACTACTCTAAGAAAGTTAAATCAATGTGGTCAACTTTCCTTTCTAAACTACTGTGAGATACTTATTATCTGATTATTTAGTGGCTATAATTTATTAACAGTGGAACTAGTATGCAAACAAAGTTCTTTACAGACAGAACTGATGACTTTATGTATGTTACTTAAACACAAAATGCTTAAAAATATTCCACACTCAAAACTAATATGACTGGGACATTTGTGTCTATATACTGAAGTGGTAGGAGAGAGAAAAAGTAGAGAAGAAACTTTGGGTCTAATATTTTTTATTGAATGTATTAATCTATATACAGAAGGTCTACTATTGCCAAATATTTAGGAAGAAAAAAATTTAATTTTTAATCTGTTCCATGGGAATTAAAACATTGTATGGTAAATAAGCATACTAGTAAGTGTTGCCTCTACATTTTTGCTTAGAAAACCTCTGGTTGCTTTTTAAAACTTAACAAAGATATTATCAGGAAAATCTGTACCACATTCTGATTATTTCAATCCCTTACTATTCAAATTAAGCCTGGTTGCTAATTTTGTTTTTCTGACTTCCTTAAAAAAGTTTACTTAAAAGAAAAATGTGATCCAGTTAAAATAGTAAAATAACAATATTGCTGCTGATTTTTATGTATTTTCTATTAGTTCTGCTGGATTCACTAAAAATAAATGAGTTGCATCCTTGAATAACTTAAAAGTATAGCCTATGGCCCAATGCAAAAAACTGTCATTCATGGATTGAAAGTGAAGTCACTCAGTTGTGTCCGACTGTTTGTGACTCTATGGATTGTAACCCCCAGGCTCCTCTGTCAGTCGAATTTTCCAGGCAAGAATTTTGGAGTGGGTTGCCATTTTCTTCTCCAGGGGATCTTCCTGATGGAGGGATCGAACTCAGGTCTCCTGCATTGCAGGCAGACTCTCTACCCTCTGAGCCACCAGGGATTGGACATTTCATAAATTTAAATTAATGAACATATAAATATTCACCAACTTTACAATTGATATGAAACTTTAAGCTTCTATTAAGTGGACTTCCACTCTTGTAATGATGGTGTAATAGAGATTCGATTTATCTTCATTTATCATTTGAAACAATTAAAAATGAATAAAATACTTGAAACAGTTCGTATAAGTCAAAAATTACATAACAGCAGTTGATAAGAGGCTGACTACCAGGCCAAGAAAGATATTGATCTCTGAGAGGCAAGAAACAAATAGCATGAATACTATGACTTCCCCAGCCTATTTACTTAAGAGAAATTTGAGGCCACAGCACTGGGAAGGAAAACCCAAGTGAAGCTCAGTGTAAACTCTGTAGTAAGGAGATACAGCTGAGCATTCAGAGACAAAGGCAGCTAGAGTTGCAGGACATGGTACCGAAAGAAAAGAGTTACACAGGAAGAGAACTCTAGAGACCTTCAGAGTGTCCCCTCTGAGTATTCAGTTAAGTACTGATCAGTGCACATGTGTATAAGGAAACTGCATGAGACTGGGGAAAGATGCATATTCAAAGACTAAAGGTAACAGTATCCAGCATTTACCCATGACTGGGAATAGGGACTATTTCCACCAGCCAAGAAAATATCATTTTTCATGGGCCTTGGTTAGAGTACCCTGAAGGATCTTATCAGAGGTAAGGGGAATAACTAGCCCCAGATTAAGTACTATCCTACTCCACCTATTAATAGCAAATCTAAAAGACAAGATTCAAAAGAATCAAACTGTTCCCATGTAACTTAACTGCATCCCCAAACAAAGCTCGAGACCTATAGGAACACAGAAATAACCAGCAAACCAACCAATGCAATCCAAACAATTCACAATGTTTGGCACCTAACCAAAACTTATCAAGCACGCAAAGAAGCAGAGAAATACAAGATATAATGAGGATAAAAATTAATCAGTCAAAATTGAACCAGAATTGACACAGATGTTAGGATTAGCAGAAACTGAAATTAAATTTATTCTAACTGTATTCCATGTGTTCAAAAACCTAAGTAAATATTCTTAAAAATCCAATTGAACTTCTAGGGATGAAAACTACAGTCTGTGAGGTGAAAAATACACTTGATGAATTAGCAGCAGATTAAACAAGAGAAGAAAAGACTAGTAAATTTGAAAACATAGCAGTGGAAACTCTCTAAAATGAACCACAGAAAGAGAATATAATTATAATAATGAGTAGAGCATCAGTAAACTCTGGAATAACACCAATATATGTCATGGGAGTCCCTAAAGCAGAGAAGAAAGGGAAAATAAAGCATATTTATAGAAATAATGGCCCAAAGTTTTCCAAATTTGATGAAATCCATAATCCCATAGACCCAAGTAGTTCAATGAGCCACAAGCACAGAAAATAAGAAAACTATAGTAAGTAATATCATCATAAAACTGACCAAAACCATTGATAAGGAGAGAAAAAACTCTTAAAGACAGTAAGAGAAGAACTGTTCTTGGTCAGTCAGGCGTGTCCACTCTTTGCAATGCAGTGGACTGTAGCCCACCAGGTTTCTCTGTCCATGGGGATTCTCCAAGTAAGAATACTGTAGCAGGTTGCCATCTTCTACTACAAGGGATCTTCCTGACCTAGGAATAGAACCCGAGTATCCTGCATTGCAGGCGGATTCTTTACCACCCGAGCTAGGAGGAAGCCCAAATATATTTGGGTGGATCGGGTCTTAATTGTGGCCTGCAGCATCTCTCACTGTGGCCCATGGGCTTCAGACATTTAAAAAATAAGTTCAATAATGAACTTTACACCTGAAGCAACACAAAAGAGGGTGGAGCAACAGTTTCAAGGTACTGAAATTTAAGGAGGAATAAAAAATAGCTAAGAATTCTATACCCATAGAAAATATCTTTAAATAGTAGATTAAATCCTCTTCAGATATTCAAAAATAATAAAAAATGCATTTCCAACAAACCCACACTGCAAGAAATAATGAGGGAAATCTTACAGGCAGAAAGAAAATGGTTAACAGAAATGTGGATCCATGCAGTACAGTGATGAGCACAAGTACAATAATTCTGTGGGTAAGTATGTGACTCTTCAAAGCTTAAATCTCCTTAAAAGATAATTGAGAGGCTGGGGGTGGAGCCTGGGCCAAAGGAATCAAGTGAGAAGAGGCAGCACTCGTTTGAGGGCAAAGGTTGCCTTGAGCAGCGGGCAGTCAATGGCGCCGGCGCCTTATGATGAGCCTGACGCCGTTGACGTTGACGTCCTGCGTGCCCCTCCCCGACCAGCCCCTCCATCACCAGGGAAACGAGAAACGGCACCAGGGAAACGAGAAACGGCACCAGGGCCCCTGAGCCGACCCGCTGGTTTCATGGCAGCTCCGAAGACAGCAGCCGGGGGGCCTTTGGTGGGGGCAGTGGTCCAGGGTACGGACTACTCTAATTTTGTGGTTTTCAATTCAAAAACATCAGAAGTACTTAGTCACCATCGAGTGGCATTAACCCAAGAGTTCCCAAAAGAAGGATGGATAGAACAAGACCCTAAGCAAATTCTTCAGTCTGTTAATCAATGTATAGAGAAAACATGTGAGAAACTTCAAGAACTGAATATTGATATATCCAACATAAAGGCTATTGGTGTCAGCAATCAGAGGGAAACCACCGTGGTCTGGGACAAATTAACCGGTGAGCCGCTCTATAATGCTGTGATGTGGCTTGATGTAAGAACCCAGTCTACTGTTGAGGCTCTTAGTAAAAAAATACCAGGAAATAATAACTTCGTCAAGTCCAAGACAGGTCTTCCACTTAGCACTTACTTCAGCGCAGTGAAACTTCGTTGGATTCTTGACAATGTAAGAAAAGCTCAAAAGGCTGTTGAAGAAGGCAGAGCTCTTTTTGGTACTGTTGATTCATGGCTTATCTGGAGTCTGACCGGAGGAGCTGATGGAGGTATCCATTGCACAGATGTAACAAATGCAAGTAGGACGATGCTCTTCAACATCCATTCTTTAGAATGGGATAAAGAGCTGTGTGATTTTTTTGAAATTCCAATGGACATTCTTCCAAATATCTGGAGTTCTTCTGAGATCTATGGACGAATGAAAACTGGGGCTCTGGAAGGTGTGCCAATATCTGGGTGCTTGGGGGACCAGTCTGCTGCATTAGTAGGACAAATGTGCTTCCAGGAAGGACAAGCCAAAAACACGTATGGGACAGGCTGCTTCTTACTATGTAATACAGGTCATAAATGCGTGTTTTCTGAATGTGGCCTCCTGACCACAGTGGCTTACAAGCTAGGCAAAAACAAGCCCGTTTCTTATGCACTGGAAGGTTCTGTGGCCATAGGTGGTGCTGTTATTCACTGGCTGAGGGACAATCTTGGCATTATAAAAACCTCAGAAGAAAGTGAAAAACTTGCTAATGAAGCAGGTACTTCTTATGGCTGCTACTTCATCCCAGCCTTTTCAGGGTTATACGCACCTTATTGGGAGCCCAGTGCGAGAGGGATCATCTGTGGGCTCACTCAGTTCACCAATAAGAGTCATATTGCTTTTGCCGCATTGGAAGCTATTTGTTTCCAAACCCGAGAGATTCTGGATGCCATGAACCGTGACTGTGGAATTCCACTCAGTCATTTGCAAGTGGATGGAGAAATGACGAAAAACAAAGTTCTTATGCAACTGCAAGCAGACATTCTGCACATTCCAGTAATAAAAGCCTCCATGCCTGAAACAATGGCACTGGGAGCGGCCATGGCAGCGGGGGCTGCAGAAGGGGTGAACGTCTGGAGCCTTAAACCCGAGGACTTGTCGACCATCATGATGGAAAGGTTTGAACCACAGATCAAAGCCACAGAGAGTGAAATTCGTTATTCTACATGGAAGAAAGCTGTGATGAAGTCAATGGGTTGGGTTACAGGTCAGCCTTCTGAAAGTAGTGAATCTAGTAACTTCTCTAGTCTGCCCTTGGGTTTTTTTATAGTGACTAGCATGATAATGTTAATTGGAGCAAGATACATCTCAAGTATATTTTCATAACACCAAGCATGGACTCTCGAGATGTGAGCTTTTCACACAATGAAAAAAATCCAGCAATTTTGCCTCTTAGTGTGATGACGCTACAACAGACTCTGACTTCGTTTATTGAACACTTAACTTCATGACTTATGAGAACCCTAGAAGTAGACCTTTGGCTGGAAATAAATAAATTATAGCAGAAAATGCTGCAGAAATATTTGGTGTGTTTTTTAGCATCAGCAGTTAAGGTCAGGCCAACCACTAGGAGTCAACCCCTCCACAGTCATAAAATCCTACTTCACTCCCTCTAAAATACAGAATACTGAGATTCTGTCTATGGAATTTTTCATCATACATTTTCTAACCCTTAAGACTAGGATTTGGCTCTCTGTGCACACACTCAATTAAGAGGTGCAACTCCCCTGTTAAAACTGAGGGACATCTTGTTGTAACTGTTGTTTATAATGGATCTGAAGGTCCTCTTTTGCACATATTAGGGAGACTTCAATACCTTTACTGAATGTTTAAGGGAAAAATTAGTTTTTATAATAGAAATGTAGCATTCTCATAGCCTAGATATTTTCCTAAAAGATATTTGTCAAAATTCTTCAGACATTTTACATGCCTCATCAATTACACTACTTTTCTGTGTAGATCATATAGGGAGAAGGGCATTTTTTACTTTTTCTTTTCATATCTCCATTTTTATGTACTCTACTTGGTATATATAACATATATGCTTATATTCTTCATATAGAAAACCCACTGATGAAGTTTATAAGAAGGGTAGTCTTACGTGGATCACCACAATAAATATTTTAGGGTAAACATATATACATATATATTTAGAGTAATGAATACACATACTATTATCAGAAAGTTTTTTAAAGAACTGGTATTTATTATTTTAATATGTGTTTTATATTGATATAAAACAGTATATTATGGTTTCAACAATATTTCTTACAATTACCTTTTAATTTAATTGCCTTAGCTAGATATATGTCAGAAACAAAGGGGGAAAACTGTGGAATACCACAGTAAGCATTATTTTGTAGCAGAAAAGAAAGAACTGATTGTTCAAACAAAACTAATAATACACTATGGAGTTAAGCATATATAAAACAAAAATAGCAAGCAAGTTGGAAATAGATAAATGGAAATGTAAAGTATTGTAAGGTTCGTATACTATACAGGAAGTAATATAATATCATTTGGAGTTACACTGTTAATACTCTAAATCCTAAAATACAAAACAAAAAATTAAATTTAGTGCATAGGCCAGAACTATAAAAATACTCATTTGATCCAAAAGAAGGCAAAAAAGAGATGAAAAAGGAAAAAAGATAGAAAAATGAAAAATAATAACAGGAAAATATACTTAAACCTAATAAGAACATTAAATATAAATGGTCTAAACACCTCAATTAGAAAGCAAGATTGTCATATAAAGAAGACTCAAATACATACTTGCCTCCAAAAAACATATTTCCTAGAAAGAGGAACAAAATAGTCAAAAAAGAAAAAGGATTTAAAAAATATACCATACTCATATTAATGGAAAGAATGTTGAAGTGACTATTAATAACAAAGTAAATTTCAAAGCAAAAAGTATTACCAGTGATAGACAAAGTCATTCTGCAGTGATAAAAGGTCAATTCATTAAAGATATATAACAATCCTAAATATTTATATACCTAATAAAGCTTTAAAATACATAAAGTAAAATCTGATAGAACTGAAAGAAAAAGTGAATAAATCTACAATTATAGTAAGAGATTTCAAAGTCTCTTCATCATTTGACAAAACAAGTAGAAAAACCAATGATTTGAACAATACTATAGATTTGAACAATATTATACTATCAAATACTTTAATTGACATTCATATACCATAACACCCTACAGTAAGAGAATACATATTCATTTCAAGTGCCTGTGAAACATTTACCAAGACATATCTTATTTAGGCCATCAACCAAGCTTCAAAAAATTTAAAAGGATTTCACATAGAGTATGCCGTGTGAGAACACTGGAATTATAAATCAATAAAATGTTTTTCTAAATGTCCAAATATTTGGACATTAAGTTGAAAAGTTTTAAATAATCCCCAAGTTGAAAAGATAAAGAAGAAAAATAAAAAATACTTGGAACATAGTGAAAATGAAGATACACCATAACAAAATTTGACATATCACTAAAGTAGCACTTAGAAATTTCTAGGACTAAAGGCCTAGAAGAAGACAAAGTTTCAAATCAGTGACCTCAGCTTCAATCTTAAGAAACTGAAAATAGAATAACAAATTCAATACAAAGGATAAGAAAATAAAATAAAGTACAATAATAAGTGGTATAGAAAACAGAAGGTGGGGGGCGGCGGGAAGGATCAGAATGAAGAGTGGGCAGAAGGGGGTAGGAAAAATGATTAAAGGGTCACAGAGAAAAACAGGAAGGAGTGAATATGTTCATTTATTAATTATGGTGACATATAAAAGGTGACTATGTCAAAATTGAACACTTTAAATATGTGATTATTATACATCAATTATACCTCAAAAAAAGTTTTAAAAAAGAAAAAAAATTACCTCAGATTCTGAAGGAATATAACCAAAGTTTGCTCATTTAGTTGATCTTGGCTGTTTTCTATTAAGCATACTGATGTATCCTCTGCTTCTACAGTCTGCTAGCAGGGGTGTGCTTCTTCCCGTCTCTAGAAGGTCTATCAGCTTTATTTGAAGTCATTTATGTGATTAGGCTGGAGAAGTACATGATAATGTCTAGTATCATTTAAACCAAATTAATTTCCCATTTCATTTATCTGTTCATAATTCTCAGTCTGGGACCTGCTGCAAATGACCTTATGAAAAGTCACAAACAAAGATGCCGTAAGAAAATCAAGCTAAAAGTCCTCAAACTCAGTATCTCATTCTTTCTCACTTCTGAGTATTATACTCATGTGGTTATCAGCTTTTTTAATACCTTTGGCTTTATAAGTCTCATTTTCATAATTCAACCTATTATGGTATTGATAAATTATAGTACTTTGTCCCAAGGCTATTAAGGAGCTTCTGTATATTCTATCATAAAATTAGCTAATGAATAATTTCTCTCTATTGCCACTAAGCAGAACTACATGGTTAAATTATGATGATGGAGTCTCATCACATGCATGTTATGAAACAGCAAGTCATCATTTAATGTCAGGCATATGTGTGAGTGGGAGAGCAGGAGCTCAAACACTAACCAGGAGAATGAAAAACATCTAATTCTGATACTATTTTCCAAAAAGACACAGGTTGTGAGGGCTACCCTGTGGTTCAGTGGTAAAGAATCTGCCTGCCTTCATCTAGAGACAGGAAGATCCCCTGGAGGAGGAAATGGCAACCCACTCCAGTAGTCTTGCCTGAAGAACCCTATGGACAGAGGAGCCTGGCAGGCTACAGTCCATGAGTTTTCAAAAGAGTCAGACATGAATTAGAGACTGAACAACAACAGTTTGTGAATTAAAACAAGTAAGTCATAGCTGAGAAGGGCAGGGGTGAGTAAGGAAGAGAGGGAAGAAACAAAGAAGGCCATGAAGAGAAAGGGATTTTAAAGGTATCCAAAGAGAAACTTCCTTGCTGGCTCAGAAGGTAAAGAATCTGCCCACAATGCAAGAGATGCGGGTTTGATCCTTGTGTCGGGAAAATCCCCTGGAGAAGGAAGTGGCTACCCACTCTAGTATTTTTGCCTGGAAAATCCCATGGTCAGAGGAGCCCAGTGGGCTCCAGTCCATGGGGTCGCAAAGAGTTGGACTGAGAGACTAACTGAGCGACTAACACTTTCAAGGAGAAACAAGCTGTACTATTAAATCTAACTGGAGACATCCTGTGTGGTACCCATGTACAAGAAGCTCTAGGAGTGACAGCAACGGACATCAGACTTAGAGGGATAAGCATCTTCCCCTCCTCACCTGGTAATAATCCTAATTATTATCTGTCTGTGACTAATATCTGGTGCTTATATGATTGTTTTGATACTGATACCCATAAACTCAAAGGGAAGCTATTGATTCACTCACTGGTAGGCCCTTTTTCTCAATATATCAGTAAAAATGTTACATTAAACAATCTGTATTTAGGTGGAACATTATAAACCTACTCTATGACTGTTAGATATGGAAAGTGTGTTTCCATGCCATTTTCTTTTTATTCAGAACTAATAAGATTCCCGAGAGTAATTTTGCAGCAAAGTCTAGAGTAAATACAGTACCATCTCACACAGTCATCTACTTTTTCCTCCCACTGAAATGACAGTTCTATAGTCCATTCTGATGGTTTCAATCAAAACAAAATAAATAAACTTAGTAAAGTTAATATTTAAATATCCCTCCATAGTTTCCATCAACAACCTGTACAGCCTGATTTATTTGAGCTTTGGAGAAACTGCATGGGATCTTTGTCTGCTATTTAATTAGCATATATGACAGCCCATTATTATATCAGCTCTCAATAAATTGATTTAATTTACAAAAAGAAAAGAAAGGAAGGCCTTGACCTCTGGTGGGAAAAAAGTAGAGGGTAATAAGACTGCTAATAACCGTATATCAAGCTATCTATGAGTTTTCGTATGCTAAGTTGCTTCAGTTGTGTCCGACTCTTTGCATACCTATAGACTGTAGCCTGCCAGGCTCCTCTGTCCGTGAGATTCTCCAGGCAAGAATCCTGGAGTGGGTTGCCATGCCCTCCTCCAAAAGATCTTCCCAACCCAGGGATCGAACCCACACCTGTTACGTCTCCTATACTGGCAGGCAGATTTTTTACCACTAGTGCCACCTGGGAAGCCCATCTATGAGTTCAGTTCATTGTAAACAGTCCACAAATCTTTCTTATGTTCAGTTATTATAGGATGTTTTCAAGTGTCACAGGAAATCCAAGCTTGAAAAGTATTTGCAAAACCAAAAACAGTGAAAAGACAGCTTATGTCTATACCGAAAGTGAAAATGTTGGTCACTCAGCAATTTCCCACTCTTTGCAATCCCATGGACTGTAGCCCGCCAGGTTCCTAGGTCCATGGGTTTTTCCAGGCCAGAATACTGGAGTGTGTTGCTATTCCCTTCCCCAGGAGATCTTCCAGACCCAGGAATTAAACTCAGGTCTCCTGCATTGCAGGCAGATTCTTTACCATCTGAGCCACCAGGGAAGATATGTCTTATACTAGGAGCTTCAAAAGAAAGCTAGGCAAAAACCAAGATAACAATGTTCTAATGATTGCAGCCGAAAGATAGCTCTGAACTTGAAGTAGGCAATCTGCTTAATTGCATGTCCCTGTTTCTACTTTTGTATGACTTTAACAAAGTGACCAAAGCAGGGGATGAATAGACACCTTGGAACAGGAAGCTCTAATTAGCATGTTTCTCTTTCTGTCTCTCATTGCAAGATAAGGTCTGTCCGACCTCAAGGATATTTTACCAAATGAACTGACCACTTCTTCCCAGGTCTCTTTCAAATAGGCCAGATACTACAACTGGCTTCCCTGATGGCTCAGTCAGGAAAGAATCTGCCTTCAGTTCAGGAGACCTGGATTCAGTTACTGGGTTGGGAAGATCCCCTGGAGAAGGAAATGACAACCCACTCCAGAATTCTTGCCTGGAAAACCCATGGACAGAGGAGCCCAGCAGGCTACAGTCCATGGGGTCACAAGAGTAGGACGTGACTTAGCAACTAAACCACCATCACCACCATATGCCATTATGTCAGCTTCACAGTTGAGAATAATGAGATAAAGAATAAGAAAATCACTTTCCCAATCCAAAAGGGGTATAGCTTTAGAATTTAGGAGATAATTCATCAGGAGAATATGATTACTTACCTAGAATTTGCTATTTTCAAAAACAATGTTATCAGTGAAAACTCTGAGACCACCTGTATGATGTAAAGCCTGTGGGTGGACAAGGCTTGAGAGATCATCTAGCTCAACATCTTTTAATATAAAAGAAGTGAAAATTTTTTTTTCCTGTCTTTCCCAGCATCAGGGGCTTTTCTTTTTTTTTTTCATTTATTTTTATTAGTTGGAGGCTAATTACTTTACAATATTGTAGTGGTTTTTGTCATACATTGACATGAATTAGCCATGGATTTACATGTATTCCCCATCCCGATCCCCGCTCCCACCTCCCTCTCCACCCGATCCCTTTGGCCCTTCCCAGTGCACCAGGTCCCCTAGATGCCATTAAAAAGATGGTGGGAGTAAAATTACAATCCAATTTTTATACTCTAATGTTCCTTTAGCTTTATCCAACTGGTAAGGCTTTACTTGAACTTTGTCTACCTCAAACAACTCTGTTGACTTTTTATAAAATGGAATGTAAAGTTAATAATAACTTATGAATTTGTTATAAACATAGCAAATAATTTGGCGTATACTCACATCCTCATACACACATACCTTGTTTCTGGCCACTTAAGCTAGGCACATTCTGGAAAATTCTGAACTGTAATAAAACACATTTGCTATTCTTCATTTGTTATTTGCTATTTCTGGAGAAAAAATGTTTGCAGACTCTTTGGGGAGCCACTCCCTTACTCATTAAATTGGGAGTGAACTGGAAGAAGTACCATTTCCTTTTAGGTACAGAGTATGATACTCACCTCCAAACAACTGATATACTTTCAGACTTACCTAATTCATCCCTTCATTTCAGGGAGCAATGTGAATTTCTTTTCCTTCCACCTTCTCTTCTTTCTTCCTTTCTTTGCCCTCCTCTTTGTCTTTTTCTTTTTCCTGAAACAAATCCACTGAGTCATATCAATATGGTATTTATTACTCATATTCACAAACATCAAAAGGGTGACAATCTGTTTAATATCCTGCAGATGAACATGCGCTAAAAAGTGGTACTGGCAATCAGGCACTCGCTGCCCACTGGGCACTGGGCAGCAATGTGCTAAGGATCTGGCCTGTTGTTCCATAGAGAAGAATGGAATTTCATTACAACTGTATCAAAAACAAATCATGTACCAAATGTTTGCCTGGATGAGTACTTGGAACATCATTTTTCTTTCATTCATCCCCTCACAGTTTCTACACTTCAGCTCTATTGCTGTCAGTACATTCTTTGCCTGTTTATATGTCTGTTCCTCTTCCATTTGTCACTATAAGTTCACTACAGTTTTACCTTCTCATACTAGCCCCAATGTGTGTGTGTGTATGTGTGTGTGCGTGTATGTGTGTATGCACTATACAATGCCTACAAATAAAAAGAACATAGACAAAAAGGGTATAAACCTTCACAAAAGAGTTTCTACAGCATTTCCTCAGGTCTCGTTTTGTCATGTCATTAGAGAATGGAAACATTTGCTTTGCATTTTCCGGATGTTGGAGATGGCTATAAGAAGATAACCTAAGGCTTACAGAGAAGAGGGCTTCCCAGATGGTGCTAGTGGTAAAGAACCTGCCTGCCAAAGCAGAAGACAGACATAAGAGATATGGGTTCCATCCCTGGATGGGGAAGATGCTCTGAAGGAGGGCACAGCAACCCACGCCAGTATTATCAGGGGAATCCCATGGACAGAGAAGTCTGACAGGCTACCGTCCATGGGATCACAAAGAGTCAGACACAACTGAAGCGACTTGGCATGCATGCAGAGAGAAAAACCTTTAAATTTAAAAAGGATCCCTGATGAATTTCAGCTAGAGATTAGAGATCTTGTATGTCAGGCCCCTAATTTTAAATATCTAGAAACTGGGTTCCGGCGGTGGTGACAATCCAAGGTTTCAGGGCTGTTTTGGACCTGGAAGTGTCGGAATTAGAATCTAGGCAAAATTTCTTCATTACATATGCCAAATTTCCTTCAAAAATTTCAATTTTAAACATAAAAACTGTTGGTTTTCTCTAGATCAGATTTAGAAATATTTACAAATGCAGTGGTAATTGCTTAGCGTGTTCCCATCAACATTCAGAATTCCCAGGGAACCACCTCATTGGGACTGATTTTAAAAGGCCTCTTCTCTCAGTTTCTTCCTTCACACTTTCAGTCGAGGCATGACCACTAACGGTGCCGGATTTATGAAACACAAGCTGGAATCAAGATTGCCAGGAGATACATCAATAACCTCAGATATTCAATGACACCGCCCTTACGGCAGAAAGTGAAGAGGAACCAAAGAGCCTCTTGATGAAAGTGAAAGAGGAGAGCGAAAAGGCTGGCTTAAAACTCAACACACAAAAAATTAACATCATGGCATTCGGTCCCATCACTTTATGGCAAATAGATGGGGAAACAATGGAAACAGTGACAACTTTATTTTCTTGGGCTCCAAAATCACTGCAGATGGTGACTACAGCCATGAAATTAAAAGATGCTTGCTCCTTGGAATAAAAGCTATGACCAACCTAAGACATCATATTAAAAAGCAGAAACATCAGTTTGCTGACAAAGGTCTGTATAGTCAAAGTTATGCTTTTCCCAATAGTCATGGATGGATGTGAGAGCTGGACCATAAAGAAAGCTGAGCACCAAAGAATTGATGCCTTTGAATTGTGGTGTTGGGAGAAGACTCTTGAGAGTCCCTTGGACTGCAAGGAGATCCAACCAGTCAGTCCTAAAGGAAATCAATCTTGAATGTTCATTGGAAGGACTGATGTTGAAGCTGAAACTCAAATACTTTGGCCACCTGATGCGAAGAACTGACTCACTGGAAAAGACCCTGATGCTGGGAAAGATTGGAGGCAGGAGGAGAAGGGGATGACAGAGGATGTGATGGTTGGATGGCATCACTGACTCAAGTGAGTTTGAGCAAGCTCTGGGAGTTAATGGTGGACAGGGAAGCCTGGTATACTGCAGAGGGGTCGCACACATGACTGTGACTGAACTGACTAAACCTCACTTTTGGGCTTCCCAGGTGGCACTAGTGGTAAAAACATGCCTGCCAATGCAGCAGGCATAAGTGACCTGGGCTCAACTGCTGGGTTGGGAAGATCCCCTGGAGGAAGGCATGGCTACTCACTCCAGTACTCTTGCCTGGAGAATCCCATGGACAGAGGAGCCTGGCAGGGTATAGTCCATGGTGTCATAAAGAGTCGGGCACGACTGAAGTGACTTAGCATCACCCAACCTAACTTTTCCTGTTTCATCTCTCAAATTCACCCTCTGTATTTTCACTGTGGTTCTTCTTGTTCCTTTCCCACCTCTATCTCTGATTTTACATAATTTATTGTTCCTTTTCCAGCACCCCAGACCTTCTGGAAAGCTTCCCACACCATCCCCCATAAGGAGCCCCCTGGTCTTACCTCCAGGGAGGAGCTGTTCCGAGGCACAAAGAGGAAAGAGAGGCAGATCTCCAGCTCCTTGTTCTCTCAATAACCCCCTGGCTGTTCTTAGGAACATTCCTTGAGCTTCTTCCTCTAGCTCAACATCAACCAATGTTTATGGGCTCTGATCTTTGACCTTGGCACACAGGTACCCAATTAACTATGGATCCGGATCATCAAGGCAACAATTCAAGTCTCAAGGGCCCTTCAAATTCTGCAGAGACCTTGTTCACCAACTGCTCATGTCTGATTTCCAGCTACCTATTCCTATTCGCACGTCCAAAGACCAGAGTCTAGACTAGTCAACTCTCATTTCAGAGATGGTCTGGGGTTTTGGAACCGCGTAGAAGTCACCCACCAGCCGGGACCGGCGGCACACCTGACTCTAGGCTAGTGTTTGAAATGGATGGACTAGACCTCAGAACCCCTGGCTCGATGCCCTACGGTGGCCAGCAAGGGCCACGTGAACTCTCAGACCTTTGCCGCTGCTTGGGCTTTTCAGCGCCGCCCTGTGGCCGTGGTGTCAACCAAGCTTTAGTTCAGTTCAGTTGCACAGTCGTGTCCGTCTCTTTGCGACCCCATGGATTGCAGCACTCCAGGCTTCCCTGTCCATCACGAGCTTCCGAAGATTGCTCAAACTCATGTCTACCGAGTCGGTGATGCCATCCAGCCATTTCATCCTCTGTCGACCCCTTATCCTCCTGCCCCCAATCCCTCCCAGCATCAGGGCCTTTTCCAATGAGTTAGTTCTTCGCATCAGGTGGCCAAAGTATTGGAGTTTCAGCTTCAGCATCAGTCTTTCCAATGAATATTCAGGATTGATTTCCTTTAGGATGGACTGCTTGGATCTCCTTGCAGTCCAAGGGACTCTCAAGAGTCTTCTCCAACACATTTCGAAAGCATCAATTCTTTAGCATTCAGCTGTCTTTATAGCACTACTCTCACATCCGTACATGACGATTGGAAAAACCATGGCTTTGGCTAGACAGACCTTTGTCGGCAAAGTAATGTCTCTGCTTTTTAATATACTGTCTAGGATGGTCATAGCTTTTCTTCCAAGGGGAAAGTGTCTTTTAATTTCATGGTTACAGTCACCATCTGCAGTGATTTTGGAGCCCAAGAAAATGAAATCTGTCACTGCTTCCATTGTTTCCCCATCTATTTGCCATGAAGTGATCTGGTACCACCAGATGCCATGATCTTACTTTTTGAATGTTGAGCTTTAAGCCAGCTTTTCCACTCTCCTCTTTCACTTTCATCAAGAGGCTCTTCAGTTTCTCTTCACTTTCTGCCATAAGGGTAATGTCATCCGCATATCTGAGCTACATGTCTCTTGAAAACAAAAATCTGTCCATTTTACCTTATCGCTTTAAATGTGCTCATTGCAATCATTTCACAGGTAAGCTAAGCAGCCTGGCATTTAATATTTGAATACCTATGTTCTATCTTCTACTTGTTCTTCTAGTTTCACTTGTCTTATCTTTTCACTGACCATGTAACTCGGTCGGGTTTCCTGGAAGCTGTCAAAGAGAAATCTCTGCGCTTTTTCTAGGCAGAAAAAATTAGAGATGCAAAATAAGACTGTTTATGGTGTTTTCCCCTTTACAAGATGCATGTCATTCTTTCATCTTAAAAAGATGTTATCTTCATTATTTAGGGATGAAAAAAGGGATTCTTGGTGAGATTTAAAGGTCTGAGAAGTATGGTCATTAACCTCTCAAAAATAAATTATTTCATTATGATTTTTCAAAAACTTCTAAAAATCTAGTTATTTCCATTTTAAATCATACTAGTCTGTGTATTGCTTTTCATTAATTCATTTCACTTAACCCTACTGCATTTTTCTAAAAATAACTCTACTGTCAGGTTTATCAACTTTCCTTAATTTAGAAAAAAGTCCCTAGGGGCTTCCCAGGTGGCACTAGCGGTAAAGGATCGGCCTGCCAGTGTAGGAGATTTCAGAGAAGGGTTTGTTCCCCTGGAAAAGGAAATGGCAACCTGCTCCAGCATTCTTGCCTGGAAAATTTCATGGACAGAGGAGCCTAGCAGGCTACAGTCAATGGGGTTGCAAAGAGTCGGTCACGACTGAACGACTGAGCACTCATGCACAGTTTGACACTTAGTTTGGTACAGAATAGTTATTTCATATATGAGTTTTTTCTAATCCTTTGTTTCTCACTGATCACGACAGAAGTTTCTAAATAAAGAGAGCTTATCTTTATAGCAATAACCTCATAAAAATCAGATTTCCAGCCTAAGTTTGGTCATATAACTCAGCTAATCAGTGAATGAATCTATATTTATTAAGTTCCTCCTATGCTAGGTACCATGGGAAATATAAAAATGGGAACTATATGGTATCTGCTTTCCAAGATTTTTAAATCTGATATTGGCAGTACGTCATATTCAGAAATGACCATGAAGAATGGCAATATTTTAAAAGTACTATTTAGGGAATGAATGAATGTG